TTATAATGTGACGGTCAAAAGAGTTGGAGGTGGGTGGTGATGACTAGTTGCCTTCCCTTTAGTCTTACACTGCTAAATTAGGGACGGCTAGCGCAGATAGCCCTTGTGTAGCTTTGCGCGAAATTAAAAACAACAACAAACAAACAGCTATAAGAAACACAACACCCATAAACTCAATCATGAAATATATTTGGAAATATACTAGAAAATAATAATAAAAAGTATGACACAGATAATATGAAGGTATATGGGATACAAAGTGATTAGAGATAACATTATGATTAAGAACTAAAAAATAAATAATCTAAATATATTCAAAATGAGGCGGTAATCGTTGAGCATGAAAATATCTTAAACGAGTTAATCATATACAATTAATGAAACCGAGCTCTTTCAGAAAATACACCTTTCTTTCCTATGTAGTATATCATCTGGAAGTGCTTGGGTTATTGAATTTCGTCTATTGTGAGTTATCTCCACCTTTTAACGCACGTATTTTTTCAATGTCGTGTTTCACAACTGTATTTATCAATGCTTGCGCAACGAGTTTGCGTACACTCAGGAAAGTTGCATGATGAAATGAAACCTGCAAAAGCAGATCGGCTTGCCGATACTAAAGTAATGGCTAACTCGTGCTGGTCAGTTTGGTGGACAGAGACTGTGTGTGTGATCTTGCTGCTAGGCCTAAAAGAAGTTAATAGTAATAGTTATAGGTAGGTCAAATGTTTTTAAATATTTTATTATTAGCTACCACGAGGCTGTATTAGCTACTGCTTATCCTTACTAATGTAAACTTCAGACAACTAGACCAAAAAGCTTGAGAAATAAAGGACAGGAAAGTAAAACTAGAGTAGAACTAAACTATGGGAAAATAAAAAATGAATCTGACGAAGTACGTCCAACACAGTAATGGGGCACATTTTGCCTTATAATTAATGTAATCGCGGAATTTTTTTCCCTAACATACTGAATAATTATAAGGCTCATTGTAGATTTGTATTTCACATACGAAGCTTGCAAAAACGAAGGTTAAATACGATAGGTGGTGTATCCCCAACGCTGTGTGGGTCCTACTTTTTCAAATACCTTTCTTATTAGGATACATTTTACAGTTTCCACGTTGCACTCTGTACTCTAATTTACGTGTCTGTCTTTAATATGCAAATCTTTCTGTTTTTGTCTGGTTATTTTGAAAATGTAATTGAATAACCAATGTCATATGATGCTAATAGGTTGCACTCTATTTCATTTATATGCTAAAAGTATTATAACAACTGAGTTATTTTTGCATGTACAAATTATAGTTCAAGATGGTTTCATTTCAAGATGAATATGTATAAGAAAACTCGAATCCTTTCTTTTCTTACCAATCTCTTTATTTACGACGAACTCACTGTCCCAGATCGCGTTGTTGCGGCAATAGATTCGTGAATCTTTGGTTTCACAGTCCGGGCACGCTAACTACTAGTGCACGCCTGGCCCCAATAATATGTAAGACTCTTAGAATTACCAATCAAATCTTGGTAAATCTATTCCTGTATACAAATACACGTTTCTTTCTACGTTATTAAAAATGGTTAACTCGCCAGATGGATAGAAATTATCAGTGGAAGGTTTATAAAACTTTTGACATTTATATGAACTTTGTAATTAGATGCGAAATATATAATTTATTCATAGTATACGTAAACCAAATTGCAGCATATTATAAAGAATTGTATTACTTTATAAGATGGGTAAGGCGTAGACTAGAAGTAAGATAGCTCTGACTGTGAATCTAAGAATTCATGGTTCGTAAATCGTTGTCGCTAAAACGCGCTCCGCACTTTGTGGCTGTAGCTGTGTTATAGGAATAACATCCAAATCCTAAGATTCGAATAGAGTAGCCCAAAAGTTTGCGGTGGGTGCTGTTGACCAGCTGCCATTCAAAATTAAGGATGGCTATGCTGAGATACCCCTCGTGTAGGTTTGCGCGAAGTTCTGAAATAAACAAAGCTAACATACGAAAGTTTGGTATCTACATGCGTTTTTCTGTGTGTGCGTGTTTTTTACTGCTTCTTCCACATTTTCTTAAAGTTAAAAGCTCTAATTTGGTTCTAAGAAAGTAAAAAAAGAAATTGACAATACTTGAATATCTTTGAGAGTTTTAATAACACTTTAAAATCATGGCATGGCTCTTAGTGCGAGAAGCTAAAGCTCAGGATTTAATTAGCGGATATCTATTTATCCTTTCCATTGTTTAATGTTTTGCTAGAGAAGTGTACTTGTTAATCGTCTCGGCACCGTTACTTATTTAATCACAAATAGGGATAAACTTCAAATCCAATCATATATTACGAAAATAATAATTTTTATGACACATTTATAAAGACGTAACTGTAACATAAGTTCCAAACATTTCACCATAACACATTTATGCAAGCCATTTTGACATAACTAAAATATTGTTTGTTATCCGTTTATGTAACGCATTGTGACGTACTGCTTATCGTTCGTTTATCTGTAACACATTCTGCCTAAACGGCTGAAAAATTATATTAAATGCTGTGAAAAACAAACAGTTTAAATCAAATGTGGCAGTAGATAATTTGAAATAAACAATCTTTACTAGAATGACAAATAAAATTTTCAAAAACATCACATATGTTTTAAAACTTGGCATTAGTCAACATGGACGTCTCCATGGGATCTTCTGGTGAGATCAACCTATAATCTATGATAATAATACTCATTTTTTGTCTGTCCTGAAAATGCGCGCTCACCTTACTATTAGCCTTACTTGGCATTAGTCAACATGAACGTCGCCAGGGGATCTTCTGGTGCGATCAACCTATAATCTATGATAATAATACTCATTTTTTGTCTGTCCTGAAAATGCGCGCTCACCTTACTATCTAAATGCGCATGTGCTCGTTCTTTCTTTCAAAGGATGTAAACAGAAGGCGGATGTAAATATACTTTGGTAGACTTTTGAACAGCAATATATTAAAACTTACCAAAGTCTTTAAAAAGGTCTAACGTTAGATCGTAGAATAACGTTATAAAATTATTTATTGATATTATTAAGTATAATTAAGTATTAAGTATAAAGTTTAACCCTAACTAAGCAAAAGTAAAAAATCTACACAAGTTAAAGTCTTAATTTATCGAATATAGACCATACTTAATGTTAAGCTTAAGGCAAGTGGGCTCTGTGATTAGAATTCTTTTGTATTGTTCTAGAAATCCTGTATTTAAATAAGTGCTGTTGCAATAGAGACACTAATTTGACCGCAAATGTTTGCGTATCTCTGCTAGTTTTGTATTAATTAATAGCTTCTTTCGTTTGCCAATTTTTGTTTCTTCAATTGACATGCATCTTGCCCTAGACTATGTATTGGACTGCTACTGGCTCGCTACTTTTAAGCTTACATGTGTTATTGATTTTAGAAACGACCTCCTCCCCCATACCCATACGATACCCATAAATATCGATACCGTTTGTTATATATACATTTTAAATTGTAACGCTTCAGTAAAATAAACACTTGTTGTAAGGACATCACCTTCGGCAAAAATCAATATAAATATTGTAAAAAATTAAAAATGATTCTAAACAAAATGAATAAAATATTAGAATGAGGTTGTTTGTTTTAGAGCAAAGCCACATTGGGCTATCTGCTGTGCCCACTGCGAGAATCGAATTTTGTAAGTCCGAAGAATTACCGCTGACCCACCGAGGGACATATCATGGCTTGTTTGTTTGTTACGGATTTCGCGCAAAGCTA